GTTTTCACTGCCTAAGCCAAGGAAGATGGAAAGAGCCCTAAGCAGGAAAGCTATAAACTCACAATTCTTACCCTGTGCAGTTTTTTAGGAACAAACGCATCTTAGTTTTGTCTGCCATTGGTTGTTTCCCAGATCCTGAAGTGATTGTCTTCAGTAATCTGCCCAGTTTTATACTTTGTATAAAAGCAAATCATCCAGCATTTTTATATTATCAAAAATAGTCATGATTATTTTATTTTAGCCGTGTACCTTAGGGTCTGTATGTAGGTGTACTTGCTTTTGTTGTGATTCTTTTAAGATACAACTTCATGTACCATAAACTCCACCCTTTTAAGGTATACAGTTTATTGGTTTTTGTATGATCAGGTGGGTTCTGTGTCTATGATTCAGCAGATTGAAAATGTAGTTAGGCCTATGATGGTTGCATCTGTACTGAGTATGTACAGATTTTTTTCTTGTCATTATTCTCCAAACAATACAACATAAAAACTATTCAAGATAGCATTTGCATTGTGTTAGGTATAAGTAACCAAGAGATGACTTAAAGTCTATAAGCCATGATTTGATGTGCATATGTTTTATGCAAATGCTATACCAGCATATAGAAGGGACTTGAGCATCTGAAGAGTCTGGTGTCCAGCAGAGTTCCTGGAACCAGTTTCTTTTGATACCAAAGGACAGCTAAGTTCACAAAGTTGTGTAATCACCCCAACTCAATACTTAGCAATTACTTCCCATTGCTCCCTTCTCTCAGTCCTTGGCAACCACTAATCTACTTTATGGATTTGCCTATTCTGGATATTTCACATAGATGGAATCAGGTATTGTGTCGTCTTTTATGACTGGCTTTTCCTTCTGGGTGAATGAACCCGTTTGTTTATTCATTTATCAGATGATGGACATTTAGGTTTCCAGCTTTAGGCTCTTATGAATAATACTCCTGGGAACATTCATTTACAAGTTTTTGTGTGGCCATACATCCTCAGTTCTCTGAGGTATATACGTAGGCATGGGCTAAATGAGTTTTATGATGATTGTTAAACTCTAAGGTTATGACCATTTTTATTGAAATTCAGTTTTCGTCATTTAGATAGGGAAATTTTGCACTGTGATCACTACAATTTCTACTTTTACATTTTCTATTAACTAAACTTTTCTGTTTATTACATTTAGTTTTCCTTTTTTTATTGGGATAATCAAGAATGTGTGTGCTTGACATACTTTCCTTCTGTCTCAAGAGAATTTGGACATCTGTTTCTATTTTGGAATCATTAACGGAGAAATTTAAACTGACATTTATCTCAATGACTAGAGTTAATTCAAGCCTCCATTCATGCTGGAAAATGAATATTAGCATGCTCATGCTTTCAACCATTGTTTTCCTATCATCCCCTTAATGAAGTAATATGGTTTAATATTTCTTATTTGTTTAACCATTTTATATTATGCTTTAGTGATTTTAAAAATTTCTTTTCATTTTATCTGAAGACAGAGAAAGGTCTTCTGTCTACTGGTTCACTCCCCACACACCCACAACAGCCGGAGTTGGACCTGGCCATAGCCAGGAGCCCAGAACCCTACTCCTGCATGGGTGGCTCAAATACTTGAGCCCATCATTGGCTACCTCCCAGGGTGTACATTAGCAGGAAGTTGGATTGAAGGAATTGGAACTTGAACTAGGCACTCCAATATGAGATGCAGGTGTCCCATCCCAAGCAGCATCTAACAGCTTAAGGCACCCACCCCTGCCTTAGTAAGTTTCTATCCTTGCCTGTCAGTTCCCAGATTTCTTTGCTTATCCCTTTTTCTTCTTTAACACATCTTTTTCCCTCCTGGATTCAGTATTTTCTAGGAGTACTTCCTCAAGTTATTATTGCAGATGGACTTTCTTTCTGTTAAGTTTTCTGAGCCTATATATAAAAGGGTCTTTATTTTGCCCTTAACTCTTGAATTACTGGCTTTAATATCATTTTCCCTCAGAACTTGAAGATACATTGTTCACTAGTTTTCATTGTTGCTGATGTAAATAGTGATTGTGGTCTTATTCATAGTCTTTTTATTCTTCTGTAGAAATTCTTGGGACTCTTTCTTTGGCCTTTAAAGTTCTAGCATTTTACTACCCAGGATTTACATATTTGTCTTTTTCCATCCTGCTAAGCACTTGGTGGATCCCTTTTATCTGAAGGTTTCCACTTTTATTTTGCAGATAACATTTTATGTGTAGCTTTCTATTGAATGCTTTTTCTTATTAGATATTGAAACTTCTAAACCTTTGATCTTACCTTTTCTTTTTTACTCTTTTGTTCTCTGCACTCTATTTTTGGAGACTCCTCAGTAAGATCTTTCTTTTAAAAAAAAAAATTTATAAACAAGTTACAGAGGCAGAGAGGGAGGAGAGGGTGGCCAGCGCCGTGGCGCAGGTTAATCCTTCACCTGGCATCCCATATGGGCGCGGTTCTAGTCCTGGCTCCTCTTCCGATCCATCCCTCTGCTACGGCCTGGGAAAGCAGCAGAAAAGATTGCCTAAGAATGTGTGCCCTGCACCTGCGTGGGAGACCCGGAAGAGGCTCCTGGCTTCGGAATAGCTCGATTCTGGCCATTGCAGCCATTTGTGGAGTGAACCAGTGGATGGAAGATCTTTCTGTCTGTCTCTCCCTCTCACTGTCTGTAACTCTACCTCTCGAGTAAATAAAATCTTTAAAAAGAGAGAGGGAGAGAGAGAGATCGAGAGAGAGAGAGAGAGATCTGCTGGTTCACTCCCCAGAAGGCCACAATGGCTAGAGCTGCATCAATCTGAAGCCAGCAGCTTCTTCCAGGTCTCCCCCACAGGTGCAGGGGCCCAAACACTTGGGCTATCATCTACTGCTTTCCTGGCCATAGCAGAGAGCTGGATGGGAAGTGGAGCAGTCAGGATTTGAATGTGCACCCACATGGGATGCCAACACTGCCGGCCCCAAGATACTGCATTTTACTAGTCATGTTGTAATTCATTCCTCTTCACACTATTGGCTATGAAATTAACCCTAATAACATTTAGACAGTATATGTGCCTGGAAACAGTGTGCTTTCTCTACTTATGTTGTGTTTTAATTTGTCCAGAAGTAAGGACAGCAACTTTAGGGTATATGCATGCTTTTTATTCAACAGATCTAAGGATAGAAACTCCCGAGATTTTTAAAAATCTCTAGCTGGAATCTCTGTGGTGCCACATGTAGATTGTTATGCCCAAAGGCATAGGTCCTCTCTGCACTTCTCACTGCACTTCTAATTTCCTATTTGTGACATGTGGTATGTCTCTCCTTCAGAGGGCGTATTTTTCTCAACAATTTTTTTTTGGTGATTTGCTCATCTTTGTGTTTTACAATTGATTCACCTACATGATTATGTACTAGCTGACCACTAATGATTATGAGGGAGGAACAGGACAAGTAGCTGAGGAAGAAGGGTTCTGGTGTTTGTTTTCTGGGTGAGTGCTCCCTGCTTCCCTCCTGAGGGTCAGCAGCTAGCTACCTGTGGCATTGCACTGCTCTGCGGCCCAGTATGCATCCTTGCTGCTTCAGACTGTGAACATAGGCCTCTGTTGACTCTTAGCAGAAACCTCCAAGTGGGGAGGGCCTGTTTGGCCCAGCTGTTCCAGATGCAGCTGACACAGGTTAATTATCCTAATGTAGAGGACTTCCCCTCCGCCAGCCTCCAGCTGTCTATGTTCACTGGCTCTAGCTTGAAGCTGTCCCCTAACCACTCCTACCTTTGTAGATGTCCCATCCTACTGTGGCTCGGGCTGTGGCTTCCTGCCCCACACCTCCCACCCTCCTCAGTGTGAGCTTGTCTGCTTCCAGGAGACTGCCAGTGTATTCTTGTTTCCATGTATTTACATTTATTTGAATGTAAATGTCATCTCTTCAAAGTTTTTCCTAACCACTCAATTTAAAGTACCTTCCAGTTACTTGACATCACTCCAGTTTATTTTCATTGGAGCATTCGTCTCTATAGCTGCCTGTCCTTTGCCCGTCTTTCCAGACCTAAATGCAGACTCTGTGTTCTGTTTACTGCTATATGATTAGAATGGTGCTTGGGTTATGGTTGACTTTCACTGTAGGATAGTTGAATTAAATTAGATTTTATACCAGGAACCAGGCCTAGCAAGTATTCTGTGTTAACCTCTGTTCAAGACATAAAGCCTTTATTAACCTAACACTTTTTCCTGACAAAAAAACTATACATTAATCTATTGAATAACAGAAAATGTAAAGTTATTAACCTTCAATTTTCTAAGAATAAAATTATAAGATGACAAGAAGTCCAATTATATTTGCCTGTAGCAAATATGACTATATGAGATGCAGTCCCAGGTAGACTGAAATGCAGTATATTCTCAGGCCTTATTATTTTGTACCTCCTTTAGCAAACTCAGATTTCCAAGTTCTTAAATTGGGTTAAGGATTTATCCTACCAAATAAGGTTTTTTACTTGTTCTCCACATCTCAGATTAAATTACCAGTGTTAGTCAGCCAATATGTAATAGTAATGGACAATTTCAGCTTCAAAACGTTTATCGTGAGGGTTAATCAAAATATTTGTTAAGTATTCAGCAAAATAGGAGTTTATTTACATAATCGTGTTTACTGCTTCTATAACTCTCATGAAAGAAAATTCCACCGAGTTTTTAAGTAGATTCTATTGCCAAATATATTTTTTTTTCGTCCCTGTTTAATTAATGTTATAAAATTTGGTAACATTCCTATTTTCTATAGAGATTAAATGTGGGCCTACATTTTTCCTTGAAAATATTTTAATATAAATTGAAAAAAGAAAATTTCATAGAAATCAAAATCATCTGTTCAATGAGACAAAATTTTTATTATAAACCATGTGTAAGTACACTGTAGGTTTATGTGTACTTCTGCCATCAAGAGGATAAGCTTAAATTTACAGAGAATCTCTCACCTTTATTACTCTGATGGAAATTATTTTAACTTTGTCCTACTTCTGTTACTTAGGCAAAGATGCAATTTATACAATTCCAGTAAAAAACATACTTGCTGTGGAAAAACTGGAAGAGAGTTCCTTTAACAAGAAAAATGTAAGTCATATAAATATTTAGAGTTTTAAATTCCAAATATTACAGTTGAAAATTTACAAGTTTCAGTGTTTACCACGAGTCAATTAATTTTAATTCTGTGTAAAATTGTTGTTATTGATATTTCATGTAGTCTGCCTAGTTCAATAAGTTAAGATGCTTTTCTCAGTATTTCCCTATTATCAGACTTCGCTATTTGACATTCAAGTCTCTGATACAGTCTCAATTTCTCTGTCCTACTTTGTCGTCTGTGACTTATCAGTACCAGTGCTTGTTCCTCCGTATCTTTCCACTGCTTTGCCTTCACTCATACTTTCTCCTCCATAGGCGATTCCCTCCCTTTATTTTTATATTAGAGTCCATTCTTGAGGACATGGGTGGCTCCTCAAAGTTACATTCTGTTGTACTGCTTAGTGATTTAGATTGTCTCTGGGACTAACTTGTTTGAAAAGTAACATTCCATAAGATATCTTAGCAACAGTTATCTAGCCAAGGAAACTTAGATTTCTTTTATGTATTTTTTTGCTTTGTACTGTGTGTTGGTTTTTAGATTCTGTCTCTAACTTTATTTTAATTACCTATGAAGATGTTCCAAGTAATACATACGGAGAAGCCACTCTATGTCCAAGCAAATAATTGTGTAGAAGCTAATGAATGGATAGACGTGCTCTGCAGGGTGAGCCGCTGCAATCAGAACCGGCTCAGTTCTTTTCATCCCTCTGCATTCCTGAATGGAAACTGGCTGTGCTGTCAGGAAACCAGTGAAAACACTCCAGGCTGCAAGCCATGTACTGCGTAAGTTTCTTTCTGATTAAAAAAGCAGTGTTTCAAAATATATATCCATATAGTACAGTATAATGGAGTATTATTTGGCCATAAAAAGGAAGTACAAATACATACTGCAACACAGATGAACCTTGGAGGCATTATGCTGAGTTACCGAAGGCCATGAAGACATGAAGGCCATATATTGTATCAAAACGTATATGAAATTTCCAGAAAAATAAACTCATACAGCCAGAAAGTTGGTTAGTAGTTGCCAGGGCTAAAGGGAGGGAGGAATGGAGAATGCGAGTTTCCTTTTAGTGTGGTGAGAATGTCCTGAAATTAATAGTGGTTGTACTTTTATATATATGTACATATATATATGTAAATCAATATTTAAATAGACTCTATAAATGTTTAAATAGAAGCATGAACCTGAGCGGGATAACAAGAAAGAGTACTTAGCATTCTTTGTCAAATTGTGTAGAATAGCCATTGCATCCCTGTAGACTTAAGTTGTAAGATCTTGCCTTTGTGATGATGCATAGGTTATCATAGTGTTACTTTAAACCTGCCTTCTTATGATTATATTCATGTAACAACCAAGGCTCTCTTGACCCCATTTTTTAAAAAATTTTTCCTGAAACTAAATTTCTGTAGTTCCAATTTTGTTTGTAATTTCTAAGCATCAAAAGTCTTTGGCATATAAGTAAACTTTTCCCAATGTGCTTCATTTCATTTTTACTATAGAGGTGTCCCTGCAGACATCCAAATAGATATTGATGAAGACAGAGAAACAGAAAGGATTTACTCACTTTTTACTCTCAGTTTACTTAAACTGCAGAAGATGGAAGGTAATTGCACTATTAATTTATTTTTATATAACCATGGTCTTTCATTTTCAATTCCAGAAGTATTACTTTGGCATTTTGTAGGAACTGAAGATACTCATACTTTAACCAAAATGAAAGTTGACAAGTCCTGAAGGGGATATTTTTTATAGGCATTCAGGAAATAAAAATACTGCTTTTGCATAAATGTGATCTTAATAAAATTTATGTATTTTAGTCATCAGTGTGTTGCCAAGAGAAATTTCCCCAGCTTGAGACCCTTAAAAAAATCCTTAGAGTACAAGTTGTGTTTGTGGAATTTAGTTGTCTAATCAGAGATTTTACTGCTCCTTGCAGAGGCCTGTGGAACAATAGCAGTCTATCAAGGACCCCAGAAGGAACCTGATGATTATTCCAACTTTGTAATTGAAGATTCTGTAACAACCTTTAAGACAATTCAGCAAATAAAAAGCATCATCGAGAAGCTGGATGAACCTCATGAAAAGTATAGAAAGAAAAGATCAAGTAGTGCGAAGTATGGGAGCAAGTATGTATTTTTTAAGCTACTGTAAACAAGTTTTTGACAGAGTTTAAGATTGCCTTTCCTGCCCTATCGTCTCAGCTGACCTCCAGGCTTCCTGTAGGCCTTCATCTGTCAAGTCTTTATCATAACTATGCAAGTTTTCTCAGACACTCAAAGTCTAGAAGAGCTTTGGTCTGTTTCAATTTTGCTATCATTAGATTGTGTTAATGCTGTACTTTATCAACACTTTTATGTTTAATTCTTTCCTTGAATAGTTTGTATCTTTGTTTTTAATGATCCTCCTTTCTATCTCTTACACTATACCTTATATACAGTTTTAAAAAAAGCACTTTTATATTTTTAAAGAACCTGTGAAAATACTAGAAGTATTTTATAGCTGATTTTGTGGATCCATCTCAGATGCATGAGGCTTCAAAAAGGGCATGGAAATCTGTTTTTTATTATTTTTATTTGAAAGGCAGAAAAAATAGATCTTTCATCCTCTTGTTCATTCTCTAAATGCCCACACAGCAGGGCAGGGCCAGGCTGAAACCAGGAGCCAGGAGCTCAATCCAGGTCTTTCATACAGGTGGCAGGAACACAACTACTTGAGCCATGACCTGCTGCCTTCCAGGGTAGGCATTAGCAAGAAGCAGAGCTGGGACTCTATCCCAGGCATCCCGATGTGGGTTGCAGGCATCCCAAGCAGTTTCTTAACCACAGTGCCGAGGCCTGCTCTTCATTTCCTTCCCTTTCCTTTCTTTCTTTCCTTTCTTTCATTTAGTTAGATTTATTTGAAAGAGTAACAGCAAGAGAGAGATCTTCCACCTACTGGTTCATTTCCCAAATGCACACATGGCCAGGGCTGGGCCAGGCTGAAGTTAGGAGCTTCTTCCAGGTCTCTCACGTGGGTGCAGGGTCCCAAGTATTTGGGCCATCCTTCATTGCTTTCACAGGCACATTAGCAGGGAGCTGGATCAGAAGTAGAGCAACCGGGACTTGAACCGGCATCCATATGGGATGCCTGTGTCACGGGCAGTGGCTTTACTTACTATACCCCAATGCCAGCCTCTGTATTATGTTTTAATTACATTTTCCCCATGAACTTTTTGAAGTACCCTCATAGTTGGCTGTTACAGGGAATAACTTGGAAACTTACTCCACTCAGGCCACTAGGCCTAGGACTTTATATTCATTTCATTCAGATTACCGTTAGCGACAGTTAACAGAAAATACCTATTGATATGGCTTAAACAGTAAGAAGTATTTTAGTCTTAGAAATTCAGTCCCAAATTCTACATTTGGTTAATTGAACAACAACATTGTCAAAGACTCTGTGCCACTCAGCTGTCATCAATAAAGTGACTTGTCATCCTTATACTTGACTCCACCTGATCACAGATAAGCCTAGGTAGCTCGGAGCCCCACATTCATATATCATAGAGTCCAGAGACAGAAAAGGCATTGCCCTTCTATGAGGAAGGAACCTCCTTGAAATACGGAATCACACTATACTAGAACAAAGTAAGGGTCCTGTACAGAAAAGATAGGAAATGGGATGGTTCTTGGGCCAGCAAATAATTGTTTGCCACAACATAAACTGATCCTCACATCAGCCAGTGTGGTTTTCTCTCTGTTTTACAACTAGAGAAGCTGAGGCTCAGGGAAATTTAAATCCCTTGCCCAGGGTTACACAACTGATTAGTGAGGGCTGTGAATCCTGGCCCTGACACTTTAAATACTCTTCAAAGATTTTATCCAGTAATATTTTCTTATAAATAAAAAGCAGTTCAGCAGGCATAAACGTTTTTCCAGATAGAGTTCATTATATTAGAAAAATTGTAAGTACCTTAATTCTGTCTCTTCTACATTGTGATAACTGGTTCTCTTCCCACAGTAGTAATTCTGTTTTCCTGGCACCCTGGGAAGTTCCCATGTGAGTTCTTAGCCAGTGCTTGACCATCCTTCTTAGATAGTGACACCCCTCCGCATAAATATACATACTCTGCCCCTGCCCAACTTTATTTTTCCCTATTTTAAAAAATGCCACCACTGGGGCCGGCACTGTGGTGTGGTGCATAAAGCTGCCACCTGCAGTGCCAGCATCCCATGTGGCACAGTTCGAGTTCTGGCTGCTCCACCTTCATTCCAACTCCCTGCATCAGAAGATGGCCCAAGTACTTGGCCCCTGCCACCTACACAGGAGACCTGGATGAAGCTCCTGACTTCAGCCTGGCCCAGTCCCTAACATTGCCGCCATCTGGGGAGCGAACCAGCAGATGGAAGATCTGTCTCTCCACCTCTCCAACTTTCAAATAAATGTTTTTTAAAACTGTCAGCATCTTTTCTTTTTTTAATTTATTTACTTGAAAGGTGGAGAGAAAGAGAGAGGGAGAGGTCTTTCATTGTGGTACTTGAACTGGTGCCCATATGGGATGCCGGCACTGCAGGCAGCAGCTTTACCAGCTATACCACAGCACTGGCCCCCATCAGCATCTCTTGTACTTAAATATTTCACTTATTTTCCTTATAAGCAGAATGTGTTTTGTTTTGTTTACAACTATATACCTAAGGGTCTAGAATGGCTCCTAAAGTCAATTAAGTGACCAGTAAGTGGTTTTGAATTAGTGAAACAAGACTTAGCATGAGATATTATCAAAGGAAAATTATTTATACTTAGTGGATTCCATTATGCATTGCTCTTTAAAAGTTTATTTTTTAGCTTTTGAAAAAGTTTCTTTTTGTTTTCTAGGGAAAATCCAATTGTTGGGAAAACATCTTAGAGTTTGACCAATTGATTCAGAAGAACTGGAAAATATTTTTCTTGGATTTTCTCATATTTTGTTCATAGTATTTAAGAATGAACATTGGCTTCAATGTCACTTGCATTCACATTGTATTTAATATTTAATAATTGAAATTACCTGTTTGAGACTCCTGGTATTGATATATTACTAGAGAATTTGAAACCCAAGATTCCCTTCATATCTTCTGTGTCCAAATCCATGTTTCTGCAACAACTTTTTAATAGGAGAAGTCTTCCTAAAGAAGGTTCCTAAAGACGCTTTGTAACAAAGGGAGAACTCTTCCATAGCAAGAAACCATCAGTTCTTGTACAGCTGTTCTGTGGACTTGTTTTCACTACCATTAGTGCCTGCTCTATACTGCCAACATCCGTGTTTTACTAGAAAAATTTCAATTCATGACAATTCAAAGCTTTCCATTTAGTTCATCTATACCCTCCTTCTTTAAAAAGAAAAAAAATCCCTTTGGTCCATTAGTCATTACATTAGGTTACATTAGTGTCAGTAACAGAAACTTCAGAAAACTGCCAGAGCATTCGTGGAAGTTGGGTGGATCCTTTGCCTATGTAAAGATGCAAACAGAACTCCGCTCGGAAGAATCAGGGAACATGTGCTGTTGTGTGCATTTTGTTTACATTTGAGATGAGTGATGGCAGATGAAATAAAATGAGTCCACTTTTTTCCATTGTTTTAAATATCAGGTACTCATCTTCTTGATTTGAAAGTTCAGATTAACATGACTTCTAAGGATAGCTCTTCTGAAAAAGAGGAGAATGTAAACCGTGAAAGATGGTGGTGGAAGAATCACTTGATTTCACTGGCTGTTTCATGTTGTAACAAGGGCCACCATGAGGATGCCCTTCTTATAGTGTTAGGTTGTGATCTAACTCAAGAACAGTCACTCGGCGCACTTTAATAATCTGGACTGCCCCAGGTTATACTTTAGATACTCCATGGTATCTGACTTTTATGATCAGTTGAATGATCAGTGTTTAAGTCTAGAAATAATGTTATCCTGAAAATGTTTATATTTCATTGCTATTTCCTTATTGCCTGCTAGCCAAATGGAATTTGGGCAAGCAGCTGTTTGAATCCCATTTTTACCTAATAATTTACTTTTGTTCTGAAAACCATAACTGTAAATAAGCAGTTGAAGCAAGTTGCCATCTTAAAGTTAAGAGGGGATATATTTTGCTTCATCAGTATTAAAGACCATGGTACTCTTGTCTTTGTAATTCCATTTTCTAAATGTGGTACTTTGAAACTTGGAGTATTTAGCTATGTTTCTTTTTAAAACTGTGACTTATTAGTGTAAGTCTAGCTAGTAGTGCATTTTTTATTTCCCTCAGCATAAGCTATATTTCAATATATACTTTGCCAATTATCTTATTGGTGATTGTTTTTAAATTGTATTGTTTTTAGGTAATAGTCTGAAGAACATTGGCATACAAAGTTGTTTTATAAATGTTATTTCTCTGAATGTGAAAAAAAAAATCAACTGGTTATGTTTAAGAATCAGTACTAGTCTGTGTTATGGTTGATTATTACTCCTGGCCTAAAGACAGATTTGAAAGTCCTTTAAATTTTATGAACTAGTAAATCCCATAAACTACACTGATTTATAAATATAAAAACTTAGCCATTTAATAAATTTCTCATTCTTGAATTTCATCAATTAGAATTCCTCTTAAGAATCTCTGAAATGTCTACCTGCGGATGACTATGTACCATTCATTACTTTTTAGTGATTCTTTCATCCTTTGCTATTTAAGATGGAAAATATTCTAACATCAGATCTTCAATTGTGATTGTTTTGAAGAGATCACAGCAAATCCAAGGAACCCCAACTATGTGAAGAGAAGGGTCCAGTCATGTAGTTTTTTTTTTTTTCTTCACATGGCACTTTAAACAGCCAGTTTGACTGGAGTTAACCTGCCTAAAAGTAAAAAGTAATGAGAGATTTCTTTTCCATGACAGTCTATTGAAATAAGAGTCCCTGTCAGTAGGACTCTAAGGTAACCAAGGATCTTGCTTCCTAGGTCCTCATTCCTCTGAGGTTACTCATGAGGACTTTGATTTTTACTACCTGGGCGCTCTCTGCTTTTTCTGCATTTGAAAATAGACATAACAGGTCACTTCTCCCTGAAAACCCCAGGATGGAAAGAAAAGAATGATATAGGGAAACTTGCCATAAATGACAGTTCTGGTTCTTAGTTTAGCCATTTCCATAAATTGAAATTGTGGTGATCTGTGGCTTGTTTTGTTTTTGTTTACTTACGTTTTTTAATATTCATTTAATAAAATGATGGGCAATAGCAAAGGTTTTTATTCCCAGGAATATAATTTATCAAATTGAACTATTTTATTTGCCAAAGAAACACCATTTTATCACGGGTAATGGTTAAATGTCAAAACTAAGCTTTTTCTATTATGTTTAAAAAAGTGACAAATGATGTGGCTTTTGTTTGTTTCTGAAACCTGATTTCATCTTTTATTAGAAAGGCTCATTCATGCCAGATTTTGAAATACAGTTGTTTTCTGTTTTTTTTTTTTTGTTTTTGTTTTTGTTTTTTGTTTTTTTTTTAAGTGAAAGCACCTTTAATTTGTTCTAACGGTACATCCTGTAAAGACAGAATTCCCTATAGCATTTTAGGTGTCCTTACAGTATGTGAAAAATACAAGACTCATTCTAGAGTTGCATATCAATCTTAATTGATACTATCTGCTTCCATTTTTATTAACTTGGAAATTAATATGTTGCTGGTAAATATTGGTTTTTACAGTGTCCAGTTGAAAATGTAAGTTATCGAAACTTAATGTAGTGAATTTGTGTAACCATGTTGTATTGTTGAGAATGTATTTTTATTTAAATTTTATTTTCTTATCAAGAGTATTATAAAAATTAAAAACTTTTGTAACTGTCGCTTGGAAATAACTCAAATAAATTACAAGAAGCATGTCCTTGTGAGACCTTTCTTTCTTACTGATTTAGTAACTTCTTATATGAAATTATCATAGCTTGCCTATTATTAAAGGAATAGTGAAAGTGAGAAGTCTCTAATAACAAAGTTGAACAAAGCCATCTGGAAATGGCTTCAGTGTTCTGTTCCTGTACTCGAAGCCAGGAGCCTGGAACTCCCTTCAGGTCTCCCACATGGGTGGCAGGGGCCCAAGCAATTGGACCATCTTTTGCTGTTTTCTCAGGCGCATTGGCAAGGAGCTGGATCAGAAGGGGAGCAGCCAGAAGTTAACCAGGCACTCATGGAATACTGCTGTCCTAGGCAGCAGCTTAATCTGCTGTACCACAACGCCAGCCCCTCTGCCAATTTCGTCCTTGTTTATTCACTCAATAGACTTTGCTTGAGACCTGTGGTAGCACCATGCAGGCAGGTTCCCGATGTACCCTAGAGCCATGCACATCAGGTGTGGAGAAATAGATTCCACAGTTAAGGTGGGTTCAGCTTTCTGAGAACTGCCGCTTTCCACACTGCTCAAAAAAGCCAACATCAGCGCCTCCTCTTGGGCCCTGCACTAACCCCTATAGATTAACTTACACTGTAACTTGACTCTCATCACATCGTCTTCCTGGATGTCAGAATCTGACCGTGCTTTAAGAATATCAAGTGACGGCCGGCGCCGTGGCTCACTAGGCTAATCCTCCGCCTAGCGGCGCCGGCACCCCGGGTTCTAGTCCCAGTCGGGGTGCCGGATTCTGTCCCGGTTGCCCCTCTTCCAGGCCAGCTCTCTGCTGTGGCCAGGGAGTGCAGTGGAGGATGGCCCAAGTGCTTGGGCCCTGCACCCCATGGGAGACCAGGAAAAGCACCTGGCTCCTGGCTCCTGCCATCGGATCAGCGCGGTGCGCCGGCCGCAGCACGCCGGCCGTGGCGGCCATTGGAGGGTGAACCAACGGCAAAGGAAGACCTTTCTCTCTGTCTCTCTCTCTCACTGTCCACTCTGCCTGTCAAAAAAAAAAAAAAAAAAAGAATATCAAGTGACAACACCAGAGACCAGGTTAGCGGGCAACTCCTGGCCCCTGACAAAGCCAGGATTCTTCCCCCTCAGTGCCTCGGCAGCCCTTTTGACATCCCTGAGTAAACCTTCCATGAAACAGCCCTGGTGACTCCAGAGGGATTTCAGGTTGATAAAGAGGAAGGGGTGGGATTTGGAATCTCTTTAAGGATCTTGCTTTTGTAGACACACCTGACTTGCTCTCATGCTACCCACCCCATGTGTAGAACTTTGGAGAAAAGGCGGCCTTGGGGTCCTATTCTGTAGTGTAAACAAGTTGGTCCTTAAAGGGAGAGGGGGCCATACTTTAGTTGAGTTTGCCTTCCCAGAACACAGTTCCAAAACTGAGGGACACTTGAAGCCAAGCAGAGTCCTTTTGTTACACAGATAAAGAAGCTGGACACAGCTTGGCATGACTGGTATACATTTGTCTACTCCAAGTCAATGGTGAGTTCTGAACTAACTCCCCTGCAAACCCTTGTAGCTATTTCAGACTTCAAAACACAGTGACTGTTGGTTTCAATTCCTCAGACACATCCTTGACCTGGCCAAAAATGTTCATTTTCTGGCTTGTCTTTCTACCATTTCACTTAGTTTGGGGATGCTATTTGCCATTTATTTTGAACTTAGCCCTGTATTTTATGTGGACAGACAAGATGTGACCTGTTTAAGTAGAATAAAGTCCTATTAAGATTAATCTTGTTTTCTGCCTTGAATTCAAGCCTTCTCTTTCATACTGTCGGAACCCTGGTGCGTAAACACATAATAGCTACATAAATCTTACTCATCGAAGAAGAGTTCTGTCTGCAGCAGACAACAGTGTTTTCCAAATCTAATATATTTCTCAACTCTTAACCAGAACCAGGAAGACCAGATGCCTACAGAGTTAAAGCACTCGTTATGGATTCTCCGGGCAGACTGGAGTTAGTGACCCCCAGACAGCCTCTCAGGACCTGTCTAAGAGAGGGAAAAGGCACAATCAGCATCACAATTTTACATTTGGAGATGCAAACAATCACCAATGTTTGTGAATATGAACTACCAAAAACAGCAACAAAATCTTGACTGACAAATTCATAGATCAGGCTGTGCTTATCACCTGGTGATCTCTGGATTAGTGTGGGGCATTTAAGTTCTGGGAAACGCTGGAATGAGCTAAAATAACTTCCAAATCTTGACCCTGATGCTCAGTTCTAAACTACACCTCGGGGCTACCATTGTAGTGTAGTGGGTTGAGCCACAGCATGCGACACTGGCATCCCATATAAGCGCTCATTCAATTCCCACATGCTGCGCTTCTGATCCAGCTCCCTGCTAACATGCTTGGGAAGGCAGAAGGTGGCCAGAATACTTGGACACCTGCCACCACATGGGAGACCTAGATGGAGTTTCAGTCTCCTTTCTTAGTCTAACCTGGCCCAGCCCCAGCCACTGTGACCATTTGGGAAGTGAACGAATTCTGACTTTCAAATAAATCTTTAAAAAAATAAAGATACATACACTGCATCTCAAAATTATGTCTTGAGTAAGGATACAGCAACCTCTGCTTCAGAGCACTCATTTTGAGGGTAGGAGAACAAACAGGTCAGATGCTGGCGAGTGTTACAAAGCAGAGTGATGTGGGAAAAGGAGGCAGGTGGGCTGGCAATAGGCTGGATGGATGCTGTTCTAAAAATTTAAAGGAAGCAGAGAGTATCTCACTAAAGAAGGTCTGAGTGCAGATCTGAAGGTGGTGAGGATGAGAATCCTGCGTATGTAGAGACAGAATCTTATAGGCAGAACTAAAACGTGATGTTGCATGAACAGCAGGGGGATGAATGAGTAAGCGGGAACAAGATGAGTGAGTGCAGCTGTGGGCACAGACTGGCAGGTCAGAGGCTTTGAGCAGCTCGGGGATGTGACCCACCTGTCAATTTTGGATCGCCTGCTGTGTCGAGGAAAATCTCTGACCATAAGCGGAAAAGGAGTTTGGGGGAAGGCAGTAATAGGCCCATAGCACAACAGGTGGTGAGAAGTCAGTTTCTGGTAACGCTTGAGGTAGGGCCAATAGGATTTGCTGTCAGGTGGAACCTGGGAGGAATGAGTCCCAGAAGACCTGGGAGCCTGAGCCACCAGAGGAGAGGAGGCATCACTTGCAGAGATGGGAAAGACTACAGGAGGAACCATGCTCTGCGTGTTTCATCCACGCTAGTGGAAGCCAGTACAAGCACTTGCATTTCTCTACCCGTCTACACTGGCCTTCACGACCTCCCTAGAGTCTGAGTGATTCTGGGGGTAGGGGGTGGCTTTATTACACTTCGCAGCTCCTTGCCCTTAGATGAGGAAGAAACTTTGGGTAGTCACTGTGGGAGACTCCACATGCTCAGGGCTACCCGATTACCTGGTCAGGGACATTGCTGGGGAACCTGAATTACACTGAGGACTGCACAGATCTTTTGTGTGATCCTTGGGACAGAGCAGATGAATATTATGCTCGCTGGGGCTAGCACTCAGGCACTGGTCTCCTATTAGGAGAGGAGCTCAGCTGAGCAGAATAAGCTTCCCCAGATTAAAAAAAAAAAAAAAAAAAGATTTATTGTGCCAAACCTGGGTGTGTCACCTTAGACACGCCCTTCACCCTGGAGCACTGAATGGAGATCCCTGGCCACACTCACTCCAAGCCTTTAGATATTCACTGAAAGCAGACACTCCACTTATCTACAGAGGAATAGTACAAAGATAAAAGCCACCACAGCAAAACAAAAACAAAAGGAAACCAAGGAGTATCTCCATAAATGCCTAAAAATAAATGCAGCAATTCAAGGAAAACAAGGAAGACAACACAATGCCCCCAAAGGAACACAATGCCTCAATACTAGATTGTGAAGATGATGAGATGGAAGAAATGCAAGGAATGGAACTCAAAAAAATGGATCCTGAAATTGCATAGAAGTAATCAGAAGCAAATGAACTACTGCACATCTGTACAGGACATGAAAAAAAATTCTCCCATGAAATTGAGATATTAAAGGGAAATCAAAATGAATACAATAGAACAAATATACCCTGCAAAGCTCTCATTGAAAAATGAAGGCGAAATAAAGCCCTTCCATAACAATCAGAAATTGGAAGAATTTGCTGCCATCCAGCCCTGCAAAAGATGCTTAAGGATATGCTGCACATAGAGACAGAAACATGGTCATCACTATGAAAGAAGGTAAAGGAAGACAATCTCCCAGTAAAAGTACAAAGGAAATGCAAAGTAAAAAATAGGGATACTTATGGAAAACTACAGGGCAAAGTCATTACTTTTTAATAGTCAGCTTGAGGTGGGGAGGAGAGGGCGGGCACCCAATCCAGTTCCATCCGATTTGGAGTCTCAATTGTGCATTTAATCTGTCTTGAATATTTTCAGTTACTTCTCATGTTGTTTAGAAGAATTGTTTCCTACAGAAAACCACTCCTTGTTCTGTAAGAACCATGTGCGCTCTATAACATCTTTGGTTGTGGTAGTCCAATTTTCCTAATGATTTTATTAATGTACAGTGTAAGATTGAAAATTTGAGTGTCATGTATATATTATTAAATTGTGAATGGATGGGATTTATGTAACAGCAACATTTGAAAATACTTATACTTGATAGCCTCTTAAGGAAGAGTTGCCTCCAAATTTGAAGCTGGAAAGTCACTGGAGTAACTTTTACAAAAAAAGAATAACAATTCATGGCTTTTTAGATTTTTGTTGCATATGTTAAGAATTGTGGACAATTTAATTGTGGACACATTTTAATTTAAATGTGTGTGCTGCTCTGGCCTCAGAATCAACCCTTGGGGCATTAGGATCTGGCTAAAAGGCCCATGAGAGTCTCACAAGACACTGTGGCAAAAACGACCTGAGTGAAAGATCTCAGTGAACAAGATCCCAGCAGAAAGAACAGGCCATCAAAGAGGAGACACCTTTCTCTGAAGGGA